CATGTTTTTGGACTGTGGGAGGAAGCCGGATAACCCAGAGAGAACACACACTGCACGGGGAGAACATGCAAACTCCACGCGGTGTCCTCATCGGGACGCGAACCGGCGACCTTCTTGCTGCGAGGCAACGATGCTAACCACTGATCCACCTGACAGCCCCCGCGTTGGAGTTCGTGTTATTATAAATTTTGATATGAAGACTTTAATTTTTTACTGCAGCTGTATATTAGGGATAGACCCACTATCAGCCTGGCAGATTATCGTGGCTGATTTTTTGGCATCTTTCCGATTACCTGCATCATTATTTTCATTAATTGATAGCAAATTAAATGCACTACATCTCTGTAATCACTCTGTCGGCTCAGAAACATCACAGAGCCGTAAACCCAAGCTGTTGCCACAAATCAGGGAATTAACTACTTTCACAGGGGCTAATGCTATGCTAATGGTTAGCAGCTAAGCTAGGAGGCAGCCACAGACTAACCTGAAACAGAGTCTGGAAAACAATAGCTAATAATACTTTAAGTTTGGAGTCTCAGTGGGCAAAAAAGTGACAGAACAGGAGGAGACAAACTGTTACTGATCTTAATCAGTCGATCCCAAAGCTAACGTCACATGATGCTCTGACATCATCCCTCCTATTGTTGGCATATTCAGTCATAGTAATCTTCACTAATAAAGAAGCCTAGTTTTGAATAGGGATAGGTGTCGTTAAGATTTTAACGATACGACTACTTTTACAGATGCTGCTTATCGATCCGGCACTTTAACAGTACTGCTACTAATACTTTATAAAAATTGTTGAAATAAAACCCATCATCGGTTCCACATATCACTTGTCTGTCTTTTCTGATTACCAGAAGAACCCATACTGGTTGATCTTTACTGTATGAAGCACCAGCTGTCAGTCTCCTTGATTACTAATAATCAGCATTGACTCTGAAAAGACCATGTTGGTGGACCTAAGCAGTGTTCCACCTACACAACTTTCTGACACCAGCAGAACAACACTCCCTGTCACACCACAAAAGCTGCTTGAGGAACATGACCAAGAGCTCAGGACATTGATCTGTCCTCCACACTCTTTAAATCTCAATCTGATCGAGCATCAGCATGATGCATTGCAATCCGCCCAAAAGATCCACTGCAATGCCAGTTCTGATGGAGAAAACTTAACAGAGTTGAATTTAAGGTTACATAAAGACAAATATCTGATTATAATAAAAGTCAAAGATGCTCCAACAGAAGCACCAGCTAATTACTGTTTGTGTTTCAGCTTGGGAGGATTCACCTTAATCCCACCGAATGAAGCTCGACGAACTGAGCTGACAACAAGTAAGTACAGTATAAACCCTGAGCTGTTAATATCTTCATACATGTTGGAACTTCTCTCCAAATGAACTGAGGTGTTTTTGTTTCCCTAGTTGCTAAAAAAGGAGAAGAGAATTTGCAGAGATGGAAGGAGGCAAACAGACCGTCTGCTGTGCATCTGAATCCAGAGAGGCTCGGTAATATTCTGTCATATTCACCCAAACAGATTGAATTTAACTTTATTATCATCACTTACTGACATGTTGCAACCTGCTGATTCATCGAGGTGGTCATGTGACTGAATCTGAAGCCAGAGTGAAGCAGCTGACGGATCATCGTAACTCCAAACTGCAGAAGAAGGTTCGTAAATTTTGCAAAACAACATCGGAATCATTTATCTGCTTTATATGCAGCTTTAAATCAAGTTAAAAGTCTAATAGCATCTAGAAAATTCCAGTAACATGGGAAGCTGTGTTTGTCTGTTAGCTTTTCTCATCAGTGATGGCAGAAGTTTCTCATTGAATGTTGTTTCCAGCTGAAACAGATGGACTTGGACAAGAAGAAGAGACAAGAAGAAGATGAAAAGTTGCAGAAGATGAAGGACCAACAGAGGGAGAAGGTGAGACCAAGACGAAGGCAACAAGATTTTATTTTTTCTTTAGCCTTCTAGCAAAAGTAGTTTTCGGTTTCAGTTAGCCACCTAAAAAAACCCTCTTACCACACCTTTGATTGATTTAGAATAATTTAAAATATTACTGCAAGGAGAGGTGTTTATGGAACATCAGTAAGTTTCAACCTCTAGCAACTGTTTGCATGTGAGACTTTAAGGGAACATCTGCAAATTGCAGCTTCAGAAAACAGTCTGCGTTACACTCTGGCCTCTAAACTGAATGAATCTCCAGCCTCCAGTACATTCTCAGCTTTTAGGAAACACTGAAATTGAATAAAATGGCCAACATTAAGCATTTATTGTGAAGAAAACTGAGCTTTGTCGTGTTGGTGCATCAATGTTCTGAGCTGACACATTGTCGTGTTGTGACGGATTCAACTGAAGCAGTGAGGAGTCACAAATTACAACAACATTGAACACTGCTTGTAGTATAACCACCGAAGAGCTGCCTTCACCTAACTTTTAGTCCCAGATCATCCTAATGAAGGAGGAATAAAAGGCTGATCTGCACTTGTATTCCTGTTTGCATTCATTTAGATGTTGTGTTAGGACATGACCAGTGTGTACAATGTGGAAACTGACGCTTGAAATGTATTATTCAGCGCCAAATGGCTCAATTAAGTGAGAAAGCACAGAAGAAGAATTTATTCTGGATCCCTGTTTATAGCAGATGAGATCTGCTGCAGATCTGAGTACTCTAAGGGCGAGGCTCGTTCATGCAAATAGACAAAACACATGCAAATTTGGAGAACATCCGCTCTGATGTGATACAATTCACTGCAGTTAAACACAAGAACTCACAGATGCGACTTGGAGATAAAGTAGAAAGCCTGCTTCTATGTTTTTGGCAGTTGTAAGAGGAAGCTCCACTCATGAATCCATGTTTCCTCAGAGAGGATTCATATCACGGTCAGCCTGCAGATGTCAGCAGCGTTGCTCTGAGCTGCAGCAGCGTCTCCTTAAAGCCTCCACAGCCACCTGATTCATGATGCTGTGGGTTTGCACCTCCTCTCAGCGCTCCAGTCATAGTTAAAGGTTATAAACGCACACGTTTCCCTGCTGACCTCTGAGGCCGAGGGTATGAACCTGATAATCCAGCAAATAAACACATAAACATGAAGCAGCTTCTTCGTCTGCTGCAGACGTGACCCGACTGGCAGAAAGCTGCTGCCTCTGGGTCATGAATGCATCCCGACACACCACACAGGGAATTATGGAGCAGGTTAGAGACGCTCGGCTTTACAGTAAATACTGAACAAGATCCAGGAAATGTTTGCAACCAAAAACCAACAAACAATGGAACTAAATCCAGCTAATACTTAAAGACACGGAAATATTCGTCTCTTTTTTCCTAATTTTAAGAAAAGTAGTTGTTTTTTTCAGGATTTTCTTCACCTACTGTAAAACACTCATTCATAGTCAGCCTTACTGCATATTTATCATTATATATTTACTTTTTGTTGGCACATATGGGGTCTATGTGTTTGTTATAGTGCCCTCTGTAGGTGGTTTGTACCAGACCACATGTTAAACTGAATGCGGTTTAATTTACACTAATTATGTTTTTTAGACCCTGAAGAAGACTTTCAGTTGATACACATACTACTTTTTTTAATTTTTTTTTTATCTTTAAGCCCCAAAGAATGAATTAACATTATTATTTCATGGTCGTCAGCACTTTACAGCATCCAGCAAGCCTTTCTGATTCTCACCTTTCTGCATTAAATAAGGACAGTTATTCATATTTCTCTATTTGAAACTGCTTTGGCTCAGTTTCAGTTGTTTTAAAAGTAATTTACAAAAACCAGTGAGCTGAGTTCTTCTACCTGTCCTGTTGGATCTGCCGTCAGAACCTTACATCTGTCCTCCTTTGTAAACAGTGATCTGAAAAACAAAAAGAAATTCACAAAGATGCTTTTTCTCATCAGAAAGCACAATGAAATGGGAGGAATTTATGTTTTGTCGTTACAAAATTCTTACATACATCAGAAAAAATAAAGTTTAGGATGATGTTACAGCACCTAAATATTTAAATATGGTAAAATCAATGCTTCTTTTATGTTGAAAACATCGTGTAACTTGTGTTTATTATGTCAGACAAGCACAAATAGCCTAATGACTGTAATTAGAGAGCATTAGTCAAGGTATTTCCTGCTCTGAATGGGTCTGTGTACACTAAAGGCAATGGGTCTGTGTTACGCCATCAAACAAAAATCTACATTTCTGACCATTTCATTGACAAAAATGTCTATTATGCTGGAGTTAATGACACCCCAAATAACAATACTGGTTAAATTCTCAGTGATTTTTCTTTGGTGTGGCCTTGAACCTCTTGGGGAGGCAGGAAAATGTTCTCCTTGCAGGAAAAACCTCATATTGTAAATATATGTTCTCCAGTTTTCACTAGTGCCCATATTTTTGATGCCGTAATGTGTTTGCAGGTGTGTTAGGTGTAGAGCTGCACTAGTTGTTCTGTATAATGAAAAATATTGTTAATTTTCACCAGATATCTTGAAAAGCCATTTGGAAAAAAATAATCATTCTAGAGCAGGGGGATCCAATCCTGGTCCTCGAGGGCCACAATCCAGCATGTTTTAGATGTTTCCCTCTTCCAACACAAATGATCAGCTCATCATCAAGCTCTGCAGAAGCCTGATAACGATCCTCGAGGACCAGGATTGGACACCCCTGTTCTAGAGTGATTTTGGCCATTTTGTAGGGGAGTGATTCTGCATCATGAATATGAAACACTGGGAAAGAAAGCAGTTTGGAACCTTTCTCATGTGGCCAGAAAACATTCACACATAAGAAGAAAAACCTCAACTGTAAATACATACATTCTCTAAAAGAAGAACCTCAGATCAGTTTCACTAAATTGCTCGAATAACTCCATTTTGAAAGAAATAATCCTTCCAGGGTGTTTTGAGTTAATCAGCACCAAAAATAAGACGACTACTTTTGTATCTACACATGGCTGCTCCCATGAGAAGCCTACATGCCAACCAACTTTGTGTCTTTTAAATAAAGTTTCTTGTAAATTAGTCACGCAACTTTTCTTTTGCATCAAGCAGCAAAAAAAGTTGTAGCATGTTGAGTTGAGTTGCTGAATCCAGTCCTAGTTGGATGCACTATCTGAGATCTTTCAAAGTTTCCTGTGCAGCATCATTGCTTCCAGTGGTCATGAGCTCACTGCCACTCATGCATGTGTGGAAACGTTTGGCTGGCTGACTCTGCGGTGTGATTTGTGCTGCAGGCCGAGCGTCAGGAGCAGCGACGGCAGCAGGAGGAGCAGCAGAGGAGTGAGCAGCTCCGGCAGGATCGCCTCAGGTCAGGCCTGGATCAGGTTTGCTCGGGTCTCATCACTGTCACCCTGCGGTTATTGTGCTGTTTTTGTGTTCCCTCTCGCCCTGCACAACGGATCTCAGGCAACAGATGTGGCATCGGATGACACAGTCTGCCGACCTTTACAAAGGAAGTGTCTGATCCCCCGCTGACCTGCGGTATAATTATCACCGGCGAGCTGCGTGTTCTGCTGGCAGCAAAAAGGAAAAACAGAACGTATCAGTTGTAAATATCAGAGGAAGTCTGAAGGCGGACGACACGAGGTTCACCTCCGAGTGGCCTCATTCACCTCCACAGAGGCTCTAATCCTGCTCATGCAACAAAAAAAAAAGAAAAAAAGAAACAGTTTCTTGGGAAGGAGTTATGCAATTGTATAAAACCAGGTGATTGGCAAACGCTGAGCTGAACAAACATTCTCAAAACAGACATTTTGAGTTTTTTACATTGAGCCAACGAGAGCTGCAACTATCAGGTGAATATTTGTCAACGCTTACATTATCCCACAGCTATTCTGTCATCATTTTGTAAAGAAAAAAACATCCAAATACTGACTCCAGTTTCTTACATTTGAATATTTTTTATTGTTAATCAAGTGTCTTTCCTCAGAGGAGTCCTGTCTGTCAAGCTGTGACTCCATAATTGCTTGTCTTGCTTTATTCAAACACAATAGAACTGCAAAGATTAGTCAATTAATCATTTAGTTGTCAGCTGTTAAAAAAAATCAGATTTTGATTTTGGATTTTGAGTGTATGTATGTACGTACGTATGTATGTATGTATGTGAGGGAGATTTCATAGACCAAACAACGATTAATCTGGAAATTAATTGATTATAATAATTCGTTGCAGCTCTGATGCCAACTTATGCTTCTTCCAATCCCTTAAAAGCACCTTGAGGAGATAGAAATGGACCTCCAGCTAGTTATTATTTTCATTTTTCAGTTACTCTACAAAATTTCTGGATTAATCAGTCACTTGTTTGGTCATTGAAATGTCAGGAAACGGTGACAAAGGTTGATCAGTGTTTCCTCAAACGTCTTGTTTTGCCCAAAGATTTTCAGTTTACTGTCACAGAGATGGAAAGAAACCAGAAAATATTCACATTGAAGATGCTGGATTCACAGAATGTAGACTCTTTAAAATTAAAAATCACTGAAACTTTTGGCAATTTGTTTAAAAGTTGAAGATTAAATGATTAATCGTTGCAGCTTTACTGTGTTTGAACAAAGCAAATCGAGCAACAATGGAGCCACAGCTTGACAGAACTCCTCTAAGGAAAGAAACAGTAAACACATATATGAATGTAAGAAGCTGGAATCAGTTTCTCCTTGTTTAAAATTTCTCAGACTGATGAATTGATTAGCTCTCGTCCCCACCACAGTGTACATAACCAAATAATAGTATATATCAAATAGATATTCCTCTTTTTGTGTGCAATTTCATTTAGCTGGGAGAACTAATGATCAAATTTGTTTAATAGCTGACAACTAATCAATTACTTGTTGCCTCTTTAGAGAAGCTACAATGCAAAGAAGTGGCATGATGGCTAGTTTAAAGAGCCCACACTCTTCACAGTTACAGGTTATAATTGTATTACTGGGGTCTACTATAATATATTTACATACTAAAATGCAAAAACAAAACAAAACAAACAACTGTACATTGCTGCAGCTTCTCTTCTGTCTGAAACAATCCATTTTAGCTCCTGTCTCTTTAAGACCCCTCTCATGAAATGTCCAGTCTGCTGTGTTGGACCGACACAAGCCAGGTAATGTTGATTAGTGGCCACAGATCTCTGAGTTTAGGGATGTAACTCTGATTGAAGCAGCTCTAGAGAGGAAATAGTGC